ATCTATAACAGTGAAAAAAGTTTTTTTTTTTTAAATCCAAGCTATTGTGACACCAGATGTATTTGGTGGCACTGACTGGGGAAATGGGCACAGTATGCACTGTGAGCCTGACACAGAAGCTGGCAGCAGTAGCAGACAACTGACTGCTATTCAATCTATAACAGTGAAAAAAGTTTTTTGTTTTTAAATCCAAGCTATTGTGACACCAGATGTAATTGTGGCACTGACTGGGGAAATGGGCACAGTATCCACTGTGAGCCTGACACAGAAGCTGGCAGCAGTGGCAGACAACTGACTGCTATTCAATCTATAACAGTGAAAAAAGTTTTTTGTTTTTAAATCCAAGCTATTGTGACACCAGATGAGTTGGTGGCACTGACTGGGGAAATGGGCACTGTGAGCCTGACACAGAAGCTGGCAGCAGTGGCAGACAACTAAGTGCATTTACATTACATAGAAAATCCAAAAAAAGCATACCCTTATCCCTAACCTAGCTTTTTCCTATCTTATGAACAGCAGCTACACTTTCCTCCTCTTACTAAGCATGCAGCTTGAGAATGAATCTAAAATGGATGCCGTCCAGTAGGTGGGAGGGTCTGCTAGGGAGGCTGTGCTGCTAATTGGCTGGAATGTGTCTGCTGACTGTGAGGTACAGGGTCAAAGTTTACTCAATGATGACGAATAGGGGGCGTGTCGAACCGCGCATATGTTCGCCCGCCGTGGCGAACGCGAACATGCTATGTTCGCCAGGAACCGTTCGGTACATCACTAGTGTGGAGCACTTCATATCTCAGAGTCAAATAGAAGCATCTAATAGTGTGCTTACAGCGCAGTGGTAAAAATTCAAATTTTCTGGGTGCTAATCTGCTAAATAGTACATTTTGGGGAGTGCTCTTCATATCTGAGAGTCAAATAGAAGCATCTAATAGTGTGCTTACAGCGCAGTGGTAAACATTCTAATTGTTTTGCTGCTATTCTGCTAAATAGTACATTTTGGGGCCTGCTCTTCATATCTGAAAGTCAAATAGAAGTGTCTAATAGTGTGCTTACAGCGCAGTGGTAAACATTCTAATTGTTTTGCTGCTAATCTACTAAATAGTAAATTTTGGGGCCTGCTCTTCATATCTGAGACACAAATAGAAGCGTCTAATAGTGTGCTTAGAGCGCAGTTGTAAACATTCAAATTGTTTTGCTGCTAATCTGCTAAATAGTACATTTTGTGGGCTGCTCTTCATATCTGAGAGTCAAATAGAAGCGTCTAATAGTGTGCTTACAGCGCAGTTGTAAACATTCTAATTGTTTTGCTGCTAATCTGCTAAATAGTACATCTGCGGCGCACTTCATATCTGAAAGTCAAATAGAAGCGTCAAATAGTGAGTTTACAGCGCAATTGTAAACATTCTAATTGTTTAGCTGCTAATCTGCTGCTTACATTGGAGTTTTAAAAAGTCAATTTAAAAAAAAAAAATTGGGGTTCTAAATAGTATATTTGGGGTGTGCACTTCATATCTGAGAGTCAAATAGAAGCGTCAAATAGTGCGCTTACTGCGCAGTTGTAAACATTCTAATTGTTTTGCTGCTAATCGGATAAATAGTACATTTTGGGGCATGCTCTTCATATCTGAGAGTCAAATAGAAGCGTCTAATAGTGTGCTTACAGCGCAGTTGTAAAAATTCTAATTTCCTGGGTGCTAATCTGCTAAATAGTACATTTTGGGGCGTGCACTTCATATCTGAGAGTCAAATTGAAGAGTCTAATGTGATGGGATTTCAACATGGCTCAAAATTTAGTAGGCCTGAAATCTCCATGTGACATATACAAGTACAGGTGTTTGTTGTATCTGTGAGTTAGTTACATGTAGCTAAGATACTGTCATCAATGTACTGAGCATGTGCATCAACTATAGTCACATTCCTTTATCCTTAAAAGGAGTCATACGGTCTGCCCATATTAGGTGATA